TATTTTCAGTTAGGTTCAATAGAAGTTCTATTTCTTATGAGGTCAATATAAATGTATAATTTTGGAATTATTATTTTATATATTACATATTTTTGACTTAGGTTAAAACTACCGTTTTCTATAAAATTTGAATTATAACTCAAGAAAAACTGTTAAATTCATCTGTCAGGTCAAGTGTCTCCCTGAAATGAGTTTTTGGAACTTGGGATGTCTGCAAAACCCTTTTTCCACTGGCCGCCAGGATCCAGGACATGAACCTTGGAATCAACATAACAGAAAAACAATTAATGATCTGACGCCAATTCTTCTTCTTCTTCTTATTGAGTTTTATTCGCGGTTGGCAAAAAACGTTAGGTGAGCATTACCGCCACCAACTGGTAAGGAGTGTAGACCACATGGCAGAAAAAAAAAAAAAACTATATCCTTTTATACAACCTAACCTGTTTCAAAAATTCAAATATAACCCGATATCCTCTGCTTCCTGATTCCTTCTGCAATAAATCCTGGTGCCAATTGCTGAACAGAATATAAACCAAAGGAAACAGGTGAGAGGAATAAATGATAATTGAGGCAGGGAGGGAAAACGACAGATGAAAGAAATAACCAATTAAGGGAGAGCAAACAGGGTAGATCATGACAACTCTTGTTTTCTCAACAATAGGAAAGCATTCAATAAATATCTGTTTGAGCTCATTTTTGGAAAATATAAACTCTTTTGAAAGCCTTCGGGTTGAGTAGCTGTAGGTCCATCAGCCACTATCCTTAGAGCGCCCCCCCTAACTTTTATCACAAAGTTAAACCCTTGATTAGGTTACGTTGACTCATTTGATTACGTTAACAAAAACACTACACGTGAACATTCTGCAGATTCATGAAGTTGCTGTTAAGAGGAATTCCCCTAGAGTTAAAAATAAAACTCCGGCAAGTTAAATAGAGCCTGGAGCAGAGAATGGGACATCCTTCTATCTGTCAGGTTCATCTCCAACATCATTTCCAGGATGGTAGGTGGAGGCAGTGCAGCTGAAGTGAGCTGAGCTGTCTCATGAAAAGCAATATTTTATGAAGCCAGGATTTCTTATTACTCTCATGACAAGCAAATGAAATTTCTTTGCAGAGTTATTTTAAGCTGTGATCCTTTGTGTTTTCCATACTCCATCCAGGATTTTTCAACAAAGATATTCTTGTTGGTATTTCTTATCCTTGTCGTCACCCCGCTGACAGACAAAGACACCGACCTGATCTCCAACAGACCGGTGCTGTGTTACCGATGCCCACCGGTGACCTTTCTGCAGGCCTCCGGCTCGTTCGTTACATGCGCGTCATGGAACGCTCAAGTCCTCAACAAAGGTAAATTCAAACTAAACTCCCAGAATACAAATTCACACCTTCATTACCAAAATTGTTGACATTTGCGGCCAATATCTTTCACCTACAGGTTCACCAGAGAAAAATCCAGTATGCCGTAGCAGCAGCTCACCTGGCACCCTCTCCGGTATTTCTGCAGTTTCCTGTTGCGCAGAGCGCAGCAGCTGCAGCGCAGCAGGGATGAAGTTTGAGCTGAAAGACTCATCCTGGAATCACAGCGCAGACGGAGAGTTCAACGGTAAAGACATCTATTAAATTAGATTGGGCCAAATTCTACGGAGAGAATTCTGTTTCAAAATACGTTACGGACCAGTGGCGGTTCTAGACCAAATGTTCCAGGGGGCTGGGGCCAAACGTGTTTTCATGGGGGAACAGAAAAGCATGAAGCAAAAAAAAAAAAAAAAAAAAAAAAAAAAAAAAAAACAGGGCAAGGGATTCAAATACATTAAGAGAGATGCATGAAGTGAAATTTCTATTCAATTACGTATAATTTAAATTATATGTCTTCCAACTAAAAATGTTTATTTTTGACTGTTCAAATCCTTGAAATGTTCATTTAGATTATTAAAATCATAATAAAAAAACAAAAAAGCAACTAAAAAAAATGGCGCTATATAAATATCAAAAAATCAAATATCGAATATTAGGTCAATATACATTCATAATTTAGGAATTTTAGATATTTCTAAATTTAAGTTTAAATGTATAGTATAAAATCAGAATTAGAACTCAAGAAAAATTAATAAATTCAGCAGTAAAAATTAAGAGGATTTTTTTATTTGTTTTGAAAAAAAATATTTAGCAGATGAAAACTGGGATACTGTCTCAATACCACGAAAGCTATCACCTTATTGTTTTTAAAATAATTAATAAAACAGATTTAAAAAAAAATATTACAATAGATTCAAAGGACCTATCAGTTACCATGTCTGTTCCAGCAAATATCATCATTAGAATTTCACTTAGTATTATGTGGTCAGTACAGGGGCCATAACAGGGTCCAGGACATGATCTACAGGGCCACTGGCCTCCGTCGGCCCCCGTCGACCCCCATCTAGAACCGTCCATGTTTGGGACTAATGTTGGATTTGTAATTTATAAATAACATTTTGTGTTTAACTTCAGGCAATTGTAAATTTTTGTTCAAACATAAATACAAATTCAATGCAATTAGTAATAGAAAATAGAAATACACACAGAAATATGATAATTAAAGACTCCAAAATCTTTCCAATGCATACAGACCATTAAATTCATGCACACGAACCACATGAAACACACTGACAAAATGACAGTTACACACAAATCAGGTCACAACTTTTTTTGAGACACATTTCAGCTTTCAGATAGCTTCCAGATTTGTGCGTATACAGTGCGTCTAAATGGTGTTGGAAAGCTGGGTCATCACTTTTGCTAAGAGTCCAGTATTTTTCCACTTAACTTATTTCACTATATACTTTGGAAAATGGGATACCATACTTGGCACCGATAAGCACCCCTTATTTGCATACAGCTAAATCTACTTTTTACTTATTCACTGGTTTTGTATTACATGCACTTGTAAGCTGAACTGCCAGTATCTCACACCTTGCTGAGATGCTGCACCATTCAAATCTCTACATGTGGTACCACTTGACAACACCCTCTACGTGTGGCCATGTTTGGCCTGAATGACTCTTTAGGCATCAGTGACCTTTAGACGTCACTATGTTCTGAAAGACATTGTAGTTAACCATTCAAATCTTAACCATTTTCTGAAAATGATATCTGATTTTAGGTCAGGATACTAAATGTAACCATGACATATCATCTCAAAACACTGGTTCAGCATTACTGTAATTAACAAAAAAATTAAGCTTTATTTTCACTTGTTTTGTATCAGTATTTACATCTGTTAACACTCTCATGCTTATCAGATCCTTTTCTTTAACTTTAGAAACTGACAAACAATCTACCAAACGTTGTTTGGGGAGTGTTTTAAACTTTAAAATACAGCAGAGTTTTAACATTTTACATCTTGAACTCATATTTAAAAGAAACATACATTTCCTTAAGTGATTTCCAAAAGAGCCAAAAAAAACAGCAAATCGTATTAAAGCTGTGAGTGAACATTTGAAATTGTGTTAAAATATCTGTTCCTGTAAAAGACAAATTATTTTGCATGTCTGTTGAAGTGAAGTAGGACTCATAAACAAGAGTGCAACAGCAAACTGCCCTTTGTCATTGGGGCAGTAAACTCCACACTGTAGAAGTGGCTCCAACAGATACTTGGAGAAAAATCTGAAGTCTTAGTCTGAAATAAAACACATAGAGGTTGGATGAACCTTTTTTTTTTAAGTTTAGTTACCGTGGTATAGAGGATTATGTTATCAGTTTATACATGTTTTTTCGACATGTGTTTGCATATCCAGTTTGGGCACTCTTCTTATGTCAGTTTTTCCCTCAGGCGCTCATAGCATTAAGTTCAGGCTTTATTCGTCAGACCTCTGGTTCACTCCACAACCTGCAGAAAAACTACACATGCACTCATGCACTGGACTTACTGAGGTCTATTGTTAGAAATATTTATGAGGAATTCAATGTGTAAAAACAAGGAACTTGCCTAACGTTGTGTGTACAGGGACACATTGTTTTTAAATTCAACCAGCTGAGTCCACCATTGGGGGAAAGTGCAAAGCATTGCATGCTTAGTATAAACATTATCTTGCAAACAGAGGTTGCATTTTAACTCTTTCTAAAAACAGCACAACATATTTAATGTGATTAACTGGTAAAGATACAATTCCAGTGATACTTTGATATTTATGAAAAAGAAAATAAGCAATACTAATGATATGGCTGGGAAATATATTGAGATTTTGAAATATTAACATTTTTTCAAAATACACATTTGTCATGATTTTACTAAAGTTTTCCACCAGAACACTAAATGGAGTCCTGACAAGATTTACCAAAGCCAAGTCCCACTGCCATGTTCATTCA